TGTGTTTAATGCATGATTCTTCTTGTCTGGGTCCTCTCCTCTCTTGTCCATTGCCCATCCTCCTGCCCTCCATGCATTACTCAGAGCAGAAGCAGGTCCAAGCCCCCGGGACCCTCCTGTTGTGGAAAGGTTCAAGACCACACATTTCCCTGCAGATCCCTCCCACTGAGGGAGCAGGGAGGATGCACCACACTTTTCCACGTGGCTCTGCACAGCCTGGCTACCTTCCTTGGCGAAACCCCAGCCTTCTGCCTTCCAGCAAAAGAAAATGTTTTTTAGAAACTGAATTTAGCTGGGTTGGACAAGACCTCTTCTCAGACTCACTGACATAAAAGGCTGCTTGTTGTATGTGGAAACATACATTCCTCCTCTGGAAACTGCTGTGGAAACAGTGATCTCTATTGAGCAGACTTTTCTTCAGGCTTGGCTGTGCTACAAGCCTGATTTTTATGACTTTGCCGTTAATACATTTAAATACCAAAAGGAAAAAAAAAAGTCATGGCTACATTACTTAGTCTTAAAAGTGCTTCCTTGGGGGAAAAAAGTGGGGGACACTACAAAATAATTTCTTAAATAAACATGAAGGCCAAATACCCCATAATTCCTGTTATATGAGAAAATAAATCCAAGACTGTTGTTAGGAAGAAAATAGCTTCTTAAGGTTAATAAACAGTCTTTTCTCTGATGCTTTTGAGAGGAGAAAGCTTTCCTCCCTCCTGTGTACCAGAGGTTTAATCTCATCCTTCACAAAAAGGCCCTGTACAAATACTGCCTGTGTTGCTATGCAAATCTGGTCTTTCCCAACAGCTGCTGGAAGAAGCTTGGTTTTGAATTCCTGGAGAAACAAATAGCTTTTTGGAAAGCCTGTCACTTGCTGTTTTGTGTTCAGTGAGGTGTCATGAGGCAACTGAGCTCATTTAACATCTTGCTTCTGCCAAAAGAGATGGTCCCAGACACATACTGCCACCGATTATGTCATGCTAGTTCTTGTGCTCATCTGTTTGCTTAGCAGGCTCAAGCCAGCAAAAATTGTAACACCCCCCCCCCCCCCCAAAATAATGCTAAAAGATCAATTCTGAAAAAAAGAGCTTATTTTCTCCTGGCAATGTGTGTTGAATCACCTTTGCAAGGGGTCAAACAATGCCAGATCTGACACGTGAAAGAAAATCAAACACATACTTCGACCCATGAAACATACCTGTTCCTGAACTAAAATCGAAGAAATGATTGCTTTTGCTTTAGAATGTCTAGAACTTTTTTCAAGAGCAAAGGAAGGACACAATGGCTGCTATTTTGTACAAGTAAAGTCTTTTCAGGGTTCTTATGCTTCTGATTTAAACACCTTTAAGAAAATTATCACAGTATCTTTGTGTAAAGTGAGCATCACTGACATACATTCTGCCTCACTTGTTTGCTCTGTTACTTCAAGGCACACATGTCCAGCTCTGCTGCATCCCCCTCGCATTGCATGGAAGTGGTACCTTCCTGGTCCTCACTGCAGGAACTGCTCTTAGACCACAGGCACTCATTACATTGTTCTCATGACAGCCTGACTGCTGACTGTAGTCTTGCCAGTGCTCCAGCCCTGTTGTTTTCCTTTTTGAGGCACCACCCTTTGCCATATTTTCATCTCTTGCTCTTTCCATCTCCAGGCAATCCTGTAAGTCTGGGCTCCCTGGTCTGGTATCTTCCTTTGCAGCTCTCTTTTCCTTAAGAGGTACAAAACTGTGTTTTCTGAGGGCTGGAGGACTGCCTGATTTTCACATTAATTTTGCTGAATTATGGTGAAGGATCGGCACATCAGATGTCCTGCAGCGTTTACCAGGCGCACATACAAGGCTGGAATACAGAAAGCTCAGAGCTCTGGTAACCCTCTCCCACATAATTAAAATTCCATCATCCTGTTCTGCATACTTGACTTTATCAGCTTCTTTTTGTTGTTGTTGTTTCTAGTGTCTCACTGCATTTTCTGACATAGAGAAGTCCTGCAGGAGTTTTTAAAGCATAATGTGCAATCAGTAGTTTTCTCATAAATATCCCAAATGTTTGGTGTTGCTGATTGGCAATGATGCAAAAAGAAGGTTAAATTTTTAAATTTAAGTCTCCAGAGGTACTGTATTAGAAGTTTGTGCACTACAGGAAGTAGTTTGGCACCAGCATGTTCACTGGCCATGCTGAGTGCTCCTCTTTCACTCCAACATGGAGTAAAGCAGGTCATTTTGGGTGCTCTGAAGAGCAGCAAGCTCTTACAGTGCTGTCAGATGAGAATTGTGCACATGAAAAAATAAATGCTGGTGCAAAAGGACAGGTTCCATTATGGTCTGCATCTTGGCTGCAGAGGTGGAACTGTTGTGCTATCTCCCTTGAATTTCTTAGTCCTGCTTCCTGGGGCTGGGAGAAGCTGAGGCATGCTCAGGAGCTGTCAGGTATGGTGTGATGGATGTCTGGGTTTCCAGTCCAGAGGGGAGGAAAACTAAAGGGGGCACAAGGCGTTATCCTAAGTCCCTTGCTCCACAGGAGGAAATTGAATGTCTTGTGACCTCCACTTGAAAGCTGGATAGATAAAGTTATCATAACCTACAGCTGTAGGGAGGAGATTACCACATCCTCAACTTTTTAAACAAGAGAGTTGTTTGAAGGCCAAGAGTTTAGTACAAATAATCATTAAAACATGTACTGTTTGTTTATTGTTTTTTAAAGATGCAGAATTAAGCACTCAGAAGTTAGGAAATGCCAGAGTTAAGGCAGTCTCCCTGTCTGTGCTCTTTTGGCTGAAGCTGAGAGCCATGCTGATGTGAGCACACAAATATTTGGGGACTTGGTGATGCTGGCAGTCTGTCAGTGTCTGGCCACAACAGGCTCTAAGCACACGTGGCACAGGCTGAATCCAGCTGAAGCTGGCAGGACTCGGCAACGCTTTCCTGGAGGCAGTCAGGTCGTCCCCTTCCATCAGGCAGATAGAAAATGGGGCATCCAGATCAGTGGCCACAACAGGAGAGGCTCAGCCAGCTGACTTAGCTTGTTATAGACAGGTACAGTGGGACACAGATAAATTTTTACCTGTCACTATGGCCTTCTTCCTCGGCCTCAGCCCCATCATCTGGTGAGATCTGCAACACCAACACAAACCCTCTACTGTGCTGTAGCCTTGCTTCATTTCTGAAGCTTTCTGAAGGAAATGATGCATGTTAACTTGCTGTTGATTTGCACACAAAGGCATTTAAATAAAATTATGTGGGTAGGTGCAGTTCTGGCCTGGTATTGGACTAAAAGAGTGTAACACAGAGTACAGCATGTATTTTTCCTGTTCACAGTTCACTGGTTTAACAAGTACCTTCTGCCATAGATCCCTGTGTTGTTTATTTAACTCTATCCAGTGTCCGGAGGAAGGGAGTCTCATTCACTGTGAGAGCCTGCTGAAAAGTTACTATGCAATGTCCAACGGCACCTTTAGCAACAAACACTTGGAGCCTGGGAGAGGCACATGTCCCTCTGTGTCCTATTTTTGTTTTAGCTGGGCACATAACTTGAGATCCATCTCCTAGGGTGCTTTAAGAACTGCCTAGCAAGACTACCAAGTTGGGACCAGTTAACCAAGACCAGCTTGGTTAACTGGTCCCAAACTCTGAAATGTAGTAAAGGACATCCTTTTCTGCAGGTGTGCTTGGTTTCTGGATCTACAGAAATCCAGAGTTTCTGAGATCACTGCTTACAAGTCTTACAAGTCACTGCTTACAAGATTTTTAAGGTCATTTTTGCTTGCTCGAAGCAACTTTCTAAGGGTTTTGAGAGGATTATTGAAAAATACAATATTTTAAATATATAACATTAATTATAAATCAATTTAGAGAGGCTGCAAAATTGTAGATGCTGAAAGTGTCAAAGCAGCTGTGAGTTGTCACTGCTTCAGAAGTTTTTTCTTCAGGTGAAGGCTCTTATGGAGCTTTTGAAGTAATTCTTGCTAATTATTGTGTGTATCTACACTTAGAAGATCTGTTAGCTGCTTCCTTTCTAAATCACAGCAGCAGAAAAATAGAAAATTTCAGATTCTTTCTGGATCTGTTGTTTACATTTTAGGTTTCAGACTTCTCCAAACATAAGTCTTCAATGAAAACTTGAGATTCTCACAGCCACATAATTCCAGAGTGTGGGACTTCAAAGAAGAAAAGGGCATTAAATATTCTAAGGCCCACTTGCACTTTTATGGCAGGATAAGGAGTCCAGATATTCCCTTTGTATTTTCCCTCCTGTTTCTGCTCATGCTAGCAGCTGTTCCACTCTACCATTTTGCTTTCCAGGCTAATGACTCTTGGGACTGAGCTATCTCACTGACCATCTGTGGCCCATACAGCAATTTGTAGTGGATAATCCCTCACACTAAATCCTCTCAGCACGTGCTGCATGTTAGTTTTGGACTTTGTCCTGTTTTGAGCTCGCTGTAGGCCTGTGAGTGACTGCAGCAGAGTGCCATCCTTCTTGCAACCAGGGAAAAGGTAAAGGGCTCTTTGGAGGACACTTAAATTCAGTGCAGTTGGGGTTATGCAAGTGGTCCCAAACCCTGTTTACCACTGGGAATTAGTTAAAATCTGTGGGGGAAAAGATGCAGCCAAGTTACAGTATTGCTTGTATAAAGCTTTCCGTCAGTAATAGAGCAAGAACTTGTGCAGCTGTGAAAAAAAAATCCACACAAACTCTCAGAGAGGTACAAAGTGACCCATGTATTTTACATGCTTTCTAAATGGTCATTGCTTTCTAAATTCACAGGATTTATGTCCTTATCCTAGTGGCTTTTCTCACTCTTTTCCAAACCAATGACAACTTAGCATCATCATATCCTACTTCAGCACTGGCTAGCAGAGAGATTCATCACAGATTTACTTAGCATGGGCATGGCTGTCCTATGGCAGACTGAACTTTTGTCTAACACTGTCTTTGGCAGCCCAAAACCCCCAGAATTTAGGGAACTACACGAGCAGTGGTGGGCAATATCTTTTAGTGAATCTCTTCCAGTATGCAGGAAGCTGTGGGTGTATGATTTCCTGAGGAACATACTGTCCCTGCATGCATGCAGGGGATTATTTTTTTTCCCTGAACAAATTAGTTTAATTTCTAGGTAACCCTGAGCCACTGGCTGTCACACCACTGTCTGGCTGTTCAAGCATGGACTGTAAAGAACACACAGCCTGTGCATGCTATTGGGCTCTGTGCCAAACCTCCCAGTGACCACAGCAGGGAGTCCCTCTGGTTGTCTCTTTTTGGGGTGAGGGACCTCAGCCAAGATGGTCAGTTTTTCTGCAAGGGCTCTGCCATAACTCTATTTTCTTTTACCTTCCCTGCATGTCTGCTAAGGCACAGAGGCATTTCACCAGGATTTATTTCTAGGCAATTCTCCCCAACCTCTTCCCTCTGCCTCTCACTTTCAGTCAGCTTCCCCATTTCCACCAACTTGTTGTTTTTACATAATGCTGCTGTAACTTTCGACGGGATGAAGATCTGGCTCTGCTTCTCCTTTTTGGGGCAAGCAAACTGCCCAAAAGCCTGGAGTGTCTGCAAGCTGCAGAAAATCCTGCGCCCGGTCCGGTGTGGATGTTTGCAGTCCAGTTACAAAAGCCCTGTGTTTGCATTATGTTAATCCCCTGGCTTTGGCTACTCTGGCCAGGCAGGACCTATCGCATGGAGAATGACATCATTTGGAAAAAGGGCTGCTTCCTGAGGCTGCCAGAGGCTCTGCAGCATCCCTCCCCTTTTATAGGGGATGGCTGCTCCATCTCAGCAGGGGCAGGCTGCTTTATCAATTGGAATAGTTTTAGTGACTGTAGACATTGTAACGTGATGGAGTGCAGGAGAAGGAGATGTGTGTAACCCTCCTCTCTGCCAGGCTGCAGTAGCGATACAATACCATAAATCCTGTGATTTGTTCATTAAGCTCTGTTGCCTAGAGATTTGTCTCATCTTAATGCATACATTGTTTTTTACTTGCCCTAATCTGCCTTTTACAAATGGTGGCAAGAATACCAGGAAAGTGTAACTGATACGATGCTGCTTGCAAGCTCACCCACGTGCTACTTGTGATCGGCACAAGGAGCTGCAGAGATATAAAATGCAGGGTGACTGGGCTGCTTAGTGAATGCTTCCAGCTCACTAATGCTGAAATGCCATAAAGCATCCTGCATTCTGAAACCAGCATATGACTCTCAGCATCGCCATTCTGCCCGATTCTCCCCTTACGGATGCAGTTACAAAAACGGCAGCTAAGCACAGACGTATCCCTGGCATGCCGTCAGGCAGCCTTGCTGGAGGAAATTTTTTTTCCCCCTGCAAGCTGCCAAGGTGGACTCCTTAGCTCCTGCGATAGACTGAATGAGACTGCAGTTCCCCCATCAGTTTCATAATACTCAGAAAGCATCCATTTACATCATTGTGTGCAGTGCAGGGCAGCAGCTGCCAGGAAATTTGAAACTATTTTGATTCCAGTTGACTAGAACAGCAGCAATTGAATTAGCTGGTACCGCTATAGATAAACTGATGATCTTTGCATTTTATTTCTTTGACCAATGGGTAACTGCTGGAGCTACAGTAATCTCTGTGAGTAAGGAGACTGTTCAAGCAAATATATCTAATTTCTCGAGCTATATTATATATATATATATATATATACTGTATCGAGAGAGACACTCACACCATTCTTTTTTAAAATGTACCTGTAAACAAAATGTCTGTCTATGCTTTTAACTTGTGTTTTGCTTCCTAGAATTTCCTTTTATTATGCTGTAGACAAGTTTGCTTGACATGGAATGGTTATTTACCTATGAAATATCATATCTATGCCTGATTTAAGTCATTAATTCTTTCAACGTCTAGTCATCAGAAAGGCTGCCAAATGCTGTTAGGTTATATTTGCCCAGTCTCAGTTTTCTAGTCACTTACCCCCTTTCTATTTTAGCTTTTTCCTTATCCATTTCTTTCTTTTTTTTTCTTTCTTTCTTTTTTTTTTTCCGTTTGTTGAAAGAAGCCACCTTCAATGCAAAGTAGAAATTTGTGTTACCTGAAAGTGTATGTCCTTTGTTTGTTTGGTGATGGGTATTTTTTTCCCTGCGCATCTTCAGTGCAGTCCTTAAATTTTGTTGTTGTCTTTCTATCCTTGTTTGTACTGCAGTCATATTGGGGGATGGGGTTAGACAGGATATGCCAGTAGCTGCAGCAAGACATGATGCTGTGGTGGTGGATGGGAATAAGGGAGGAGTTTCCCTTAAAGAGCTCAAGCTCCTATAAGCTCTTGTACCTGAAATAGCTCTCTGATGAAAGAGAAAGGCTTTTCAGTTTTGGGCGAGTGGCAGATTGGTCGTGATTTACTTCACAAAATAGAGACCTTGGCAGTCATGTGCATGGTGGTACCTAACATAATGGCAACAGAACACTGCTTTGATGTCATGTAGGAAGTTTTTTCAATCAAACAGAGAATTAGGCAATATTCCTGCATGAAGACAAGAATCCCACTGACTTGTGCTTGTATACAGCAGCAGCAGCAGCAGCAGCAGTCCGTCCAGAGGACAGCTGCTGACATTTCACCTAGAAGAGGCTTTACTTTTCTACTGTGATAGCGCTACTCTCTTGCCAAGATGGAACACAGCTTGCAGGTGTGGCAGAGGGGAGTACATGTAAGCACTCTCCCTTTGGACACCTCTCTGTGCCTGCATTTGTGGGTATGCGCTCTGTGTACCTCTTCTGGAGTCTGATGGGCTTGCTATGAAGTTCAGGAGGAGAAATAAATCAGAAACTTGCTCAAGATTTCTTTCCACTGTCAGCAGTGGCTGTTGGTGGCAGATGGGGACGCACAGCAGAGCATTTAGCATTCACCACAAGAAATAAGGCCCCTCTGTTTTCCTCGTGTTGGTTCAGAAGCTAAGATAGCAATTAGCAGAGATGAGCCTGGCCTCTTGGCAGGATCTGTGTGCAGTGCCTTGTTGGGGCTTGGCCTGCAGAGCATGTTGGCTGCCTCCCAGCCCCACAGGAGGCCGGGACTGATGCTCTGGGCTTCCTTCCAAAAGGCGGGATGTGTGGGTTGGAGTGAGGCATGGGGGGTCCCAGCTCTTGGTGTACTGTGTATTCCCTTTCTTCATGCAATGCAGCCAGAGTGTGGCCCAGGCAGTGGTCTGGCCAAGTGCTGTCCCACAGTGCTGAGGGCATATACTAAGCATTGCTTGAGGGTGGATGTGTCCACCAAGAAGGGTTTATGTTAGCATCCATAGTGACATGCTCCCTTACTAGTCCTCTCCTAAGAAATCCCTTCTCTAGTCTGTGCTGGGAGCAGCAAGCACTAGAGCTTCTGCATCAGAGAAGGATTGCAGGATGAGAAGGCAGCTTGGGGATGCTTGCCTGGGGTTGTTCTAGTGCAGGTGTAGGGACATTGTTACCACTGAGCATCACTGTCATATGTGAGTCTGTCCTGGTGAAAGTGTCCCACAGTGGCAGCCTAGTGCCTGTGCTGTGAAAAGTGTGGGCTTGAGATGCACGCAAGCACTGCGTGGCTGAGTTGTGTGCAAAGGGCTCTGTTTGTCTGCTGCTTCAGACACTTAGGAAAAGCACTGTGGGTGCCCCCACACCTGTGTTTTGGAAACCTTGCCATGAAGATGGGCTGGTGATGCAATCTTTACGGCCTGGGACCTTGCCGCACAGAAAAGGTCCCTGCTTTGTCTAGTCACTGTCCTGAACAGCAATCATGTCATATGGATGAAGCTGAATTTTTATTATATAGTGATTAAATCAATGGCATGGAGACGTTTGGAGAACACACTGGGGAAGATTCTGAGGCTTGGCAGGGTCCAAGACTGTCACTTTGATCCAGCACCACACCCAGTTTGTGGTATTTTCCCTGTGGCAAGATATACTGGGATATACTGGCAGGTGTCAGCTTTTGCTTACCTTAACAAGCCACTGGCACATAGGTAGCCACATTAATGCGCATCTGAACTTGTGTTAGATTAGCCTCTCTTTCACTTTGAACTCAGCCTACCATTAACCCCAGCTACATGGCTTCTGCCTCAGAAACAGACCTTGGCCGGCCTGCTTGGAGCAGAGATGGGGATCATTTTGCACCTAGAGATGCACCTTGGGACCAAACCCTTCAATTTCAAGTTAGTCTCTGGTTTCAGAGCTGTCACCTCGATGCTTTTCAAAGTAGGTGTTTGGGTCTGGCCACCCTGCAGTTTGATTTAAAACACTATTACACTCCAGGCCAGTTTTTTTTTTTTTTTAGTTTTTTGTTTTGTTTTGTTGTTTTTTGGTTTTTTTTTTCCCCAAAGGAGTGTGACAAATGCTGTTGTTGATGGTTGGCTTTTTAATTGTTGTTTTCGGGTTTTTTTCCCCCAAGAGCTCAGTTCCTCCTTGGGCTGTGATATAAGGTGGGCAATTATCTGTCATTATGTGATCCCTGAGGTCCCTTCGGACAGATGGCTCTCTGTTATCTCGAAACAATGGGAGCCACTGGGTGCATGGAGCTTGGAAAATGGGACCACCCATTTTTGCTCCTGCTTTGTTTACATCGTTGGAAAAGCACAAGGAAGGGAGGGGTACCAAGGTTTTTCTGCAGCAGTGTATTTGCTGCAGTAGAAAATGTGCATTGCTTGGTATGTATCCATCACTGCAACATGACCTTCAGCTACCTGAGTTGTTAAAGGAAGAGGGTAGTGCTGGCAGAAAGTTTAATTGCTCATTAATTATTATGTAATTTAGCCAATTAGTTTTGTCAAGGCTGTAGAACATAAGGGGTGTGGCTGATTATCTTCCCAGCGTTTCACCTTTACAAGTGCAAATTATGTGTAATGTCTTTTTTAAGTAAAACCATCATGGGTAGTGCATGCTGTGGATGAATGTCAGACATCTGAATCTCTGCTTTCTTAGGCCTGCACACCCGGCCTGTGGCCTGGCCTGAGGCCTCCGACTGTTCACGTGCCATCGGGACCTTTTCTGAAGTGTAGCAGACATTTCTGGCATTCCTTCCTCGGTAGTGCAGACTCCCAAAGTAGGGCCGCCCAAAAACTCCTATGTAAAAAGACCAACTTTAGATAACTGTAGTATGAGAGCAGAAGTGAGTTAAACTGAAGTAGTTTCCCTTCAGGGGAGAGCGTTTTTGCTCTGTAAGGAGCGGGCGGGGAGAGAGATCAAACTTTTTGCTTTGTGCGTGTAGTAGATAAATCCAGGGTCTCTCTTCTTTTACTTTGTAGGTAGTGGCCGTGGAAGCAGCAGTTTGCCTCCTCATACCATCATCAATGAATTTCCAGAGTATGGCACTGTAGAGTCGAGCAGACAAGCTCCCTCAGCTCTGTCGATGTGCCAGGCCGAGCCTGTAACACGCAGTCCGGAAAGACGGGACAGTCACCACCGTGTCAGGCCTGTTCCTCAGTGCGCAGCTCCTGCTGATAATTTGAGGCCTGATGCAGGGGCAGTGCAGCTTCACACCCCAGAAGAAGGTTTGCAACCCAGGGGTAATCTGCCAGAGATTATGAAAATCTCTCGACAGCTAGAAGCAACAAAGGTGCAAGAAAGAGCAAATACTTCTCTCGATTCAGAGACGCAAATGGAAAAAAAGAGCGTTACTGGCAGCCAAAATGTGCAGGCAGCCAGAGAACCAGTTCCAGCAGGCCAAGAAAAACTCTCAGACATGCTTCTTCCATCTGAACGAACAGCTGAGGAAAAAAAGTATTTGATCGTAGAGAAAGATCTGGCTTCAGTACGGGCTGGAGAAAAGCAGTCTGAATCCTCACAAGCCATAAGTAATAAAGCAGAGGAGGTCCACGCAGCTCAGGAACCAAGCTGTCACAAGTCATCTGTGACAAACCTGGAAGCAGTCAGCAGAGTGGAGAGGGGGACACGTTTTGAGGAGTGTTCAGAGTACAATCAAGGCAAAATGCAAACAGGTACCGAGAGAAGGCTTGGTAAAGAGGCAGCTGTAAGTAAACATGTAGAATTTCAAGGTGTGGAGATCTTATGGCTGCAAAAAGCTGAGGAGCAGAGAAGAAAGAAGCACTCACTGCTGGATTCTGTGTCTGTGGAGAGGAAGGTATTCACCAAAACATCCAGCCACCCTGTGTCACCAATGGTCTCCCCAGCCTTGCTTTCCTTGCCAGACAGTGCATGGAGTGAGGTCTGTGAAGACCCAAGGCTGGAACCTGCTGTGTCTGCAGCCACTCCTCTACCACTGCTTGAAGAAAGCGGGAAGGATGAAGTTTCTGTGAAGGACAGGAAGAACTGTGGTGAGGAGATGACTGTGCTTGCAAGAGGCCAGGGCAGGTGAGCTGGTGCTAAGAGGGGAGCAGAAGTCAGGCAGGGGTTCTCTTGTCTAGGCTTGTGGCTTGTGCCTACCTGTTTAGGAGGTAATATGAAGCAGAAAATATTTGTCTGCTGCCTGTGGTGTAGTGTTTACAGTACTGGTTTACATAGATGGTGGTTGGCTAGTGCCTGAAGTTGATACTGAAACCACTTCACACCGTCTTACTGAAGTTTACAGTCCATCTCAGATTTTGAAATTTAAAGATCAGAAGTCTTGCTGTTTGCACAGTGATGAAGCATCTGTAGCAGGTGTAATTGGGATCTGGACATGCCATGTCATTAAATACAGTTGGCATGCAAGCCTGGCCATACGCACCTGAACAGATTTTCTGGTTTCATTCAGTTTGTGCAAAAACAGTGTGACAGCTTCTGAATGGTTGGATAATAAAGACATTTTATTCAGGGCCATGTAGATCACAGGAGGATAAATGTTACAATATGTGCTTTCTATATTATCTATCTATCTATCTATCTATCTATCTATATTATCTATCTATTTATCTGTCTGTGTTTATATCATTTTAGCAGTACATATTGCAAGAATGGTGTGCTGCTTTGCATCCTGATTTGCTTGTTTTTCTTTCCTGATGGACATCTCTGACAAAACAAAGGGTTCCACTGGTGCGCTCTGAGCAAACTATGTCCACTTTGAGCTGGAGCTGTGTGCTGCTGAGACAGCATCTCTACAAGGGAGGCTTTCCTGCCTCTGCACCTCTCTATCTGTGGAGTTTTGCTTTGGCTAGTGCTTGGAATTATTTGGGTTGGCTACCCTCACCTCTGGCATGTTGAGGAGCCCCACAGTATTGTGTGCAGCAGAGAAGAAAACTCTTCAGGGGGATGGTATACCTTTCCTTGTGTCAGCAGCAGGCTGAGTCTTCTCAGTCTGGTTCCCCAGGCTCCATATTTTTAATTGCATGTGCTTCCCTTTGCATTTTGGAGCGATTTCCTTCAGCTTTTTGCTGAAGACCCCAGTCCTAGGACTGCAGAGACAGCAAATTATCCTTCAGGGGCAGAGGCTCCGTCTGGTTACACATCTCCAATATGTGCAGCCTCTGGATTGGGACTGGTGCTAGGACAGATCTTACACATTGGGTGTGCTTTTATTTTTTGCATGTAAGCAGCTGATCTGTTAGATAATATGAGGATGTCTCCAAGCCGTCTTCTTTTACCCAGAAAATTGTTTCTTTCTATGTCCCTGGAGAGGGAGATCATGCCAGTCATAAAGAGAGGTAGTGCAAGGAGGAACCAACATTTTACCTGCAGTGCCCTCTCTTGCATAAAGCTGCATTGACCTTTCTGTTCAGAAAGGTGGAAGGTGAGAAGGGTTGCCCAAAGTCTAAACCTTGCCCCCAAACTGAAACAAAGTGTTTTTTCTTTAATTTTCAGGATGGTGGAGGAGGGGGAAACCGCCACAGGAGGATGTGAAGATTTCCTTGGGCAGAGGCATTCTGATGTCTCCACTGATCTGTACAGCTCGCAGTTTGAAAACATCCTAGACAATGCATCTTTGTACTACAGTGCGGAATCTCTGGAGACATTGTACTCGGAGCCTGATAGCTACTTCAGCTTTGAGATGCCACTCACTCCCATGATCCAGCAGCGCATGAAGGAGGGTGGACAGTTTTTAGATAGGGCATCAGCCGTGGGGCAGACAGATGTCCCTGACAGGGAGGTGAAGGGATGTGGTGAAGGCATTGCCAATGGCTTAAGGGATGTAAGCGAAACACTCTTCAAAGGAGATGTCACAGAAGTCCCTCGTCTGGAAAGGTAAAAGTAGTGGGTGAGCTTTCTGTGTGCCTGCTGATTTTTCCCAACTTCTCTTTACTTCAGTGTACTGTCGCAGAGTGTAGTTTTGCCTCTTTTAACACTTCTAATTTTCTCCAGAGGATAATTTCCAGGGTGACTGCAGGAGAGAAATGAGCCATCCAAACCTGCCATTCATAATAAGAGTGACAATTTACATTATGAAGGTTTATTAGGCAATGCTGATGTGTTGATAAAAGGTATTATCACATCTCTGGGACCTGTCTCTGGAGGAGTTAGTTATTGGTTACAAATGAACCTTGTTCAACTACAGTTCCTACCTGAATTTATTGGCAGCAACTGGAAGACAAGCGAGCATTGCAAAAATGTTATTCATTTCTGTTTAGGTAAAAGGAGAGGTTGTTAAAAGCAAGAGTCATGTGAAAAGCGAAAATTAGGCTGAGTGGTCATAAAATACTGCACAATTGTAGAATATCACTCTATGTGAAAACTTTTCTTATAGTGTGCTGTCAAAGAGAGTGGGGACACTGAAAGGCAGACACAGACAAAATGGAGGTTGAATTAAAAGCAGAGTGGTGAGGGTGTGTTGCAGATTGATGAAGGACCTTGTGAGTGACAAAGATGCCTCTGGTCTTCATCTTCCAGGGACAGGATGTTATCTTAGAGTCCTAGGACTATTCCCTTAGATGGGACTAGTCTAGTTAGAGCTTTCCTGGGAGTAGAGGTGGGAGATCTTTTATGTGTTTTATTTCTTTTGTGCTAAAATGAAAGAAGTCCTTTGAGCAGAGGTAGTTTTTCTAACTCTATGGATTAAGGTACATTTTGCTCTTAAAACAGCAAGCAGAAGGACATTAGAGTTTAAAATATTTTTCCCTCAATCATACAGTAAAACATGTTTAAATCTTGTGCATGTGTGGTGCCTACCAATAGGCAATAAGTGACTGTTAATCTGCAATTACCTGTATGGAGCCAGAAACTGAGGTCAGTCCTGAGACTTGAAGCTCCTTACAGCAAAACCAAAGGCTGACATAAAACTGGACAGGGGACAACAAGCAGCACATTCAGATCCTGATTCTGTTACCCTGTAGTTGCAGCATCTACTATTTAAAAGATACTGTCAAGTAAGGCCTACATTGGCTCATCAGGACAAAAATTATGACAAAGACAAGGTGTGCTTAGATGAGTCACATCAGGTGTCTGCCTAGTGTGGATTTCACTTGGAATTAATTTTAGTTTAGATTTGCAGCCATACTGATAAACTAGCAGTAGATGTTTAAATACTTTTTTTCCCTCACTTAATTAAAAAAAAAGAAAAGAAAAGAAAAAAAAAAAAAAAAAAGAGTGTTCCTGGTTTGTTTAGGGATAAGTCTTAAGGGCTCACCTAAGGTAGGTGCCAGTAGAGAATGTCACTACCGCAGGATAGCTAGCCACGAGTATGCCCAACAGTGATCCTCCCAACAATAACCTTACAGCTAACACCACCCTTCCCCCTCTGGTATTCCCAATATCATGTTGTATTGCACCAGGCGTGTATGTTGTGTGGTGACTGACAGGTTGTGAGTACTACTTTGTTGGAGCCAGTGGGGAACATCACGGTGTTAAGAGCACATGGGTGAGAAGCAGTGTGTGCGTGCTAGGGACGGCGGGATATTTATTGCACGGGGGTCAAGGTGGTGTGTCATGGTGATGCTCAGGTGAACCAGAAATAGCCTCCTGAGCCCTGGCGGCTGAGGGGTTTGAACGCGCGGTTGTGTTGCCTGAAGCAATCCGAGACTTAGGTTTACCTGAGTCTGCCTGTGCGATGCGTGTATGGCACCTCTGTGCCTGCTGCTGAAGCTCTCGTTTCCTACGGCGCCGTGAGCCCGCGGTTGTGCTTGGGGCTGCAGTTCCTCACGCGTAGCGCCTGTTCGAGCACCCTCCGCAGTGGTCCAGCCCTCCCGGAGGAGGAGGCTGGGGGGGAGGTAAGCCCTCCGCCCCGCCGTGCCCGGCCCCGCACGGTGCCGCCGGAGCGCTCCGTGCGCTTTGCCCGGCCGGGCCTCCCCCCTCCCACCGCCCCCCGCCTGGAGGAGAGCGGCGGGAGAAGCCACTCCCAGAGGGGTGGGGGTTTGCTGTAGGGGCTCGGCATGTGAATACTGGCAAGTGCAAAGGGAAGCGGGGGGGATTTCGGGTGCGGGGGATATGGGAGCGGAGCAGGGCAGTGTGGCAGTGCGGGACAGCAAGGAGCATGAGACCCCCTCCCCTTTTCTGGAAACGGTACTGCCAAACCGAGGGAGCAAAAACCGAAACCAAAATCTCAGCTGTGCCTTGTGCCGTAGTATTTCGGTGATATAAAAAGTGATTGGGGAGGGAGCATGCTTCCAAGTACCATTACTAGTTAATGGGGGAGCAGTGTGAAACACGAGCAGTTCTTCCTGGCCCAGAGCAGAAGGGGATGACCGACTTGAGTGCAAAGAGCTGGTGGTTTTTCACCTGGAGATTGATAGCCGTGTGTGCCAGTTGGGAAAAGAGGAGCTGGGGTTCCCGTGGCCATGCCGTCCTGTTAACAGGTAGCTGAGCACCATAGCACATTCTGCACCTGTACGGAGGGATCCAGAGCGTACCTCACACAAGGTTTTGATATGTAAGGACAAGTAATGGCCTGGCCACGTAATGAATAAGCGGGAGGGTAACATCCTTCTTCACTCTTAGGAAATTGCTGGCTTTGGGAGGGGTCAACTCTGGTATGTGAGGGCCGGTCACATGCCTTCAGAACTGAAAAAAAAAAAAACCAAGGAGGAAAAAAATTATTAGAGGCTTGCAGGCTGCAAGATCCTATGAGCTCCTAGGTGTCGGAAGATTTCATCCCCGCTGTCCTCCCTGTCAGCTGCTGGCCGTGGTTAAACACAGTAAGTCCTGGCAAGAGCTGTATGATGGACCTGCCTGCTTTGACAGCCACCTGCCATGCTTCCTTAGGGTAGGGGGATGTCAGCTGCTCCTGAGTCTTCCTGCAGAGCAGGCAGGCTTACTTTTGCAAGTAGCCCTTTCCTAGCATAGCTTGGGTACTCTTGGGTGCCTGGCCAGTGGAGGAGGGATGGTTGGAAGAGAAGGGTGTGCAGCTTGCCTTCGTGTCTTTGGGGTGGAGTTTATTGTCTTTCAGTTCTCTGAGATAAGCTCAGTTGGTTAGAGCATGGTGCTAATAATGCCAGAGCTGTGGGTTTGATCTCTGTGTGGGTCGTTCACTTAACAGTTGGCATCGATGATCCTTTTGTGTCCCTTCCAACTCAGAATATTCTGTCATTCTGTAGTGATTAACCCTCTGAGGGAAAAAAATACTCTGCAGCTGAAGTAGCCTTGAATTTCCACGGGGCGGGGTCGGAGAACAGGGGTAGGAGGGGTAGTGTGTGAGGTTTCAGAGCTGAGCGACAGCCTTGCTATGTGTCAGGGCACCATGGGATCCTCATGAAATAGGCTGAGCCTCAGGCTGTCAGTGTTATGAAGCTTTGTAATCTCAATAAGGACGTTTCATTTGGACCGTGTTTGGTGCCCTTGTCTCTCTGTTATCCTTGCAGAGGCATGCAGTCGCCACTGCCACACCCATGTTCCAGGTTCTGTACTCCTCCCTTCCCATGCCAGTGGGCTTTTAGAGGCAGTAAAAACTGTTTGCAAGCTGTTACTGAGACAATGAGCTTGAGTTAGCGTTGCCTGGACTAGGTGTAATCGTTTGCAAATTGAATGAAGTTGGTGATCCAAGTCAGAGTGGCGTGAAAGGGATGTGTTTCCAAAGTAGTAAGATATACCTTCCTGAGGGGAAAATGAGTTATCTTTTCTATGTATACCACAGACAAAGCATCTACGTGACTAAATGTGAAGTGTGAAATTTTCTCCATGGTGATCTCTTTACTTCCAGACTTTAAGGGCTGGACTTCTTTTATTGTTTTCTTATACTGCATACTTTACAGCAGGTTTTCCATTCCCTCTCCCCTTGTAGGCTAGAGTCAGAATAAATTTTTAAAAACCCACAGAACAAGAACAAAAAACTTATGGCATTTCTTTTCCTGCCATAAATGCCTTTTCCTTTTGTTTGGGAAGTATTGTCTCTGTTGGCAGGACATTGCCCAAGATTTTTGTAAATCTAGAGAGAAGATAAAAAATCTGTATTGCAACTCCTAATCCTCAAAAATGTTAAATATTTGCCACCTGCCATCATCTTCAAGGAACTGCTGGTGCTCAGCAAATTCTGAAAGTCCTTTTATTTTTTTTCCTAGAGTTGCAAACACAAATTTAGTTGTATATGTATTCAAGAGGGGAAGAAAACAAACTCCCTAAAGCAATCTGGCAATTTTAAAAATAAAGTCACAAGAATGTAGCCTGAAATTCCCATGGGTACCAGGTTACTTCTGATTGTTGGGGCCTATTGAAAGCATTACGATTTGTAGTGGTTCCCATGGTGGATATTTTTCTTCTGTGTATAGGTCATTTCCAGCAGTTTTTTACTTGGCACTCTGCTTGTTCCTTCTTTAAGACAATAAACTTTGTTGACAAATAAATTCACTTTTGATTCCTCTCTCCGGGTTGATTCTCTAAGTCTCTTCCCAGTTTATGAATACCCACATACCAGTTATTATTTTGGTTTTCAGTTTGTACACTGGTAGTCTTGTCCAAAGTAGCTTGTATCTGATTTTTCCATGTAGTTACAAGACTCAGTACTAAAGAATCTAACATGTAATGTTTATGCATTCATTTATTTACTTTGAAAATTCACTTTGAGACCCAGTTGAATTTTTTCATTTAGGGTGAAATCTGCTGAGATCCCTATTTTTCTGAGTGGAGGTTTTTTCGCCTTCAGACATGCCTCAGCTTGTGGCAGATTCTGGGACCTAGGAGACATAGGTCAGTCAGAACATGGTACTTCATATTTGCTGCCAGCCATATGCCCAGCATAAGGAAGGTTATTCAGAGGGATGGAGTTGGTTATTGTCCTAGAAAAGCAAATGCATCAAATGCATCTGCAGCTAGTGAGCAAG